GCTATTGTTTCCTGAAACCTCTGTGGTTACTGACCAGTGCTCTCCCTCAGCAAACAGTACCAACTTAGCTAAACTTCTAACCTGTGTCAGATGGAAAGGATTAAGAAGGAGACTTTGCTGTCAGACATGCTTTGAGACTAACACATTGAGGGAAGGAGTAAAGGGGAGAAGGAATCAAGTCTACAAATGAAACCCTGACCCATACTCGGTGCCTTGCCATTCTCTGAACGGCTCACCCAGTGTCCCTTCACGGTTGATCTTTAATGCCTATAGTTACTGTAGGAACACTTAAGAATGGAACTTTCCTCCAACTGGACTAACTTATTTCATCTCCACCAGGAACCACAAAGCATGCAAGACTTTTTATCTCCAATCATAATGAGGGGGCAGCATTGCCAGGGTGCCACACCAATGCCACAACACAATGCCTCTCCTGGGGGACAAACAGTTCTCCCCCTAATCTAGCAGTCCTATTCATCCTTCAGGGGACAGCTCTGCTACCACTAATAGAAAACTGCCCTTACTCCTAGACTGAGTGTGTCCCTCGCCGCCTCTATGACACTTCTCATACGGGTCTAATATTAGGACTCAACACACAACTCCAATTATCTGTGCATTCTTCCTTTTTCTTCCAATAAATATGTTTAACTTCTGTTTATATCTCCAGTACCTAACATAAACAGCATTTGTCTTCTCAGTCTGTTGTAGGGAGCGGAGGAAGCTCTGAACAAATGTGTATTTTGATGTGGGAAGGCCACATCAAGCACCCGAAGACCAGCTGGCCCATGGAAAATTGGCAAAGTCATTGTCCATATGGCCAGGCTTAAGAGAAATGGCAAAGCTTTTCGGGACTCCCAATATGAGTGTTTACGAAGGATGGATCAATGTGGGCAAGACTAATAACTATGGCATTCTCCTCCTGGATGGTACTGAAGCCATCTCTCCTCCAGAGACCTCCCACTGAGATGAGCTAACCACTCCCCCATGCTATACCTAATAATGAGGTTCCAGGTTTTGGGGGGTGGCTGGGGTAGGAGTAGGAGAACCTCCCCTGATCCCAGCTTCACTGTATGGGTGCCACTTCTTCATTCTCTCAGAGCCCTTAGTAAAGGTTCCAGTACCCAGGTTGCACAGGGCCAGGCAGGCTGTCCAGTTGAAATACTGGATTGGTAGTTTAAACCAAAACATATTGCCCCAAACGTCTGAATATGAAAAGTTCTGGATCAGAACCGCTCCTTGATCTGCAAACGGCCCCCTCCTCTCCGTGTCCTCCTGTGGTCTGGCCTCCGCACATAGGCATGCATGCTAGTGCCTCTGTGTGTGCTCAAATCACCTCTTCTGAGAACCCAATCCCTCCGAGCAGGACTTTCCCAACAGCCTCATTTTAACTTGTTTCCATCCTTTAAAGCCTTTTAACACAGCGTTAAGACTTCAAAAGATGAATCTAGGGGATGAAGGAAGATAACTTGGTCCATAACACAGGATTAGGAACAAGGTGTCCAATCAGCACACACTGGCCTGGAAGAACCAGCCTGGACTAGGAAAGATTGTTTGCAGGTGCGTTTTCATTATCCTTTGCTTGCCTGGCCCGTTTGCTTTCATGAGTTCCTACAAGTGACAAAGCTCACACAGGAAGTAAACAAACCCTCCAGATTCTTTGGGCACGGATCATCTAGATAAAAAATGGCATACCCAACTGCTTTTGTAAAGGCACAAATAATAACACGGGGGGGGGGGGGGCAAGGCAGGCAGCCTCAGGCCATAACACTCAGATCCCCCTCACTACTCCTGAGCCCCCCCCCCACCGAGCTCCAGAGAGCACCAATGGAAGAAGCTAAGAAGCAAATGTTTAGTGAGAACTGTAAGGCACCACATAAATGATGGTGGCTATTGCATGAAATAAAAAGTTTTCTCAGCACCTTACCGATAACTGGGTATAAAGAATACCATGAATAAGGCCACTGGTGAGCCAGCTCAGCAGGAAAAATATTGGACTGCCAAGTCTGATGCCTTGAAATAACAGAATTAGATGCCCCAAACCCACATGGTGGAAAGAAACAACCAACTGCTTCAAGTTGTCGTCTGACCCCACAAGAGGACTTATCAATGGGGACACATGCATACATACACACAGAGACACAAAATAAACAAATATATACACATCTGTATACATACATACATTAATTTGAAAAAAGAACACCATGCCAAAAGACCCAGAAACACAGAAGCATAGAAGAATAAGAAAAGGATTTTTTTTTACTATGATGGCAACCTATATCCCTCGCTCTGTGTAATATCAGCAGAAGGAACACAAACCACTTAATATAATTTTCAGATCACAGCCAAATCTGATACACTGTCTCCTCAGGTACAGAACCACTAAGAAATGCTATCATTTCACTTTCTTAAATATATACTAGTGAGCCCAAAGAAGCCTGAGAATTTGAGGAATAATTGACGTTACACAGACAGGTCTCACGTTTTGGGATATCAAAGCCTGAACAGGAAACAGGTACCAAAGCCATTTATTTCTGTAAGATGCAAAACGCAAAGTCCTTGCCTCATGAGCCCATAGCAGGGCATAGCAGTGCCCTACAACATGCCAGGAACAATTCCAGCTCACATCTACTTCTCCCTGGGATTAGAAATGCCACTCCTTGTGGCCTTCACAGGTGTCCCAGTCTATACAATAACTTCCATGGTCACCCTGCTGCAATACCACAGGTCCACTGAGAAACAGCTATATATTTTTTCAGGACCAGTGGAACATGAAGTAGGAGGACCCCCTGTTCAAAAGTCAGGGAGGAAAAGGCTAGCAAAGGTGCAGAAATGCAGGATTGGTTCTCTTTCATGGACCTCCGAGGGTCTTGCTCTATTGCTCCATTGATGTCACACGCAAAGCCAACGTGGAAGGATAACACTGGTAAGAATTTCAAGATGGTGGAGGCCAGACCTTAAACCAAGTAAGGACCATTCCGCGCACAAAGCCTTAAGTCACAGGGATGCACACATATACACACGGGTGTGCACAGGACACACACCTGAAAGTACCCAGTGTCTCCTATCCCAGTCCACTCACTCTATGATCCTACACCATGCCATGGACTGAAAAGCTGAAGCAAGCCACACCAACTGTTGCCCACACTGGGACATTAGACACTGGCTCTTAGTTCTACGGAGCCACTAATCTGGACATGGTTTCCAGTGTTTCTCATTAAGCACAAACTTTCATTTCCCAGGCAAAAACAAGAAAGAAAATTCAAGCACATTAGGTCACTCTCTGCCTTCTTATCTATACAGAATTAAAGACGAAAACGTCTTCCCTTTTTACCCCCTTAAATGCTTTCTTAAATGTGCCAGTGATGTCGTGACAAGACAGTCACCAAGTGAGACGATTCGGTCATATTCTACCACAAGAGTCCTTACTATTACAAAACTCCAAAATGCCATGTCAATTTTATAAAATTGGCAGCACATTTCTTTCTTTTTTGATTTTCTGAGACAGGGCTTCTCTAGGAAACCCTGGCTGACCTGAAATTCACTCTGTAGACAGACTGGCTTCGAACTCATATTAGCCTCTCTCTGCCTGCCAAGTGCTGGGACTAAGAGCCTGTGCCACTATGCCCGGTGAAAACTGGCATTTTAAATAAAAATCAACAAGTCAGTTTTTGAGACAGGGCCGAATTCTTGCCTATTTCTGCCATTTAGCATTGGCAGTCTCCCTACCCATCTATTTTCAGAAAGGTTGTCTCTAAGAAATGACTCACTTCACATCCAAAGACTTAGTTCCCAACAAAGTTCCATGAAAGTCAAATTTGAAGCCACTAAAAGTTAAACCTCCCTAAAACATGCTCTTGTCCGTAAACGCTACATGATCACGTACAGTGACCCTACCCATCACCAGCTACCAGGGTATTCTTTAACACCAGTGCCTCCTCCAAGAATGTGGGCCCCCCAGGCTTGGAGAAACTGAATTTGAGAGGTCAACCTGTGTGTTTTGCATCTTCCGAGACATTGTTCTTTCCTTCCTAACACAGAGTGAATTTCTACACGGTGACCGCAAGCACAAACCAATCTCGGGAGGAAGTTCGGTACTTGAAACATTTCCCTCGGAACCTAGGGGGTGTGGAACACAGCTATGAAAGGGGGAAGTTTGAGGGTCTGGCAGGGTTTGGGAAGCTAACCCCTTCCTGGAAGGATGCCCTCTCACTCAGGTTATCAGGATGCAATAGGACTGACTATAAATTTCTTTCTCCCAGTTAGCGAAGAAAATTCCGTTTTTACGTGACTTCTCAGGAGTTCAGATTCCCAGTTTCTCCTCTCCTGTCTGAAACTGAATGAAATGCTTTTGGAATAGAATTCCAGTGACCTGGAGACACCTCCTGCTCAGTCTATGAAATCCTGAAGTTGTCCGACACAAAGCGAGTTTTAGGACCCGGCTCTCAAGGGGGTCGGTGTGCACAGGGGACCGGGAACCAAGAGTAGGGCAGATTCAAACCAAGAGAAAGGAGCTTGGAGGGAGGGAGGACGGGCGCGCACATGCGGCTTTAATATGCAACAGCTGCCAGGGATGGTGACCCTGCTGCTCTTTCTCTTCCACCACCACCCTCAGAATCCAACGTTTCAATGATTATACCTAAAGGGACTTCACTGCTGTTGATCTAATAACCGAGTCCAGCTTCACCACGTTCAAGGACTTTTTAAACTGTGTGTACCTGAAGATAGCAAATGTAAGCAGGAAACCAAGGCTTTTAAACAAAATATGAATGGAGAGAAAGGGAGAATAAAGAAAATGATACAATGAAATTAGCCCTGGGAGATAGATCAAGAAAATTGAACGCAGATGGGACAGGTTAACTTCTCCCACGCGAGTTCTTGGCCACTGTGTGGATGTTCAGCCAGGAGCCCATCCTGGGGTCCCCGCGCCACACGTACGGGTGCCCTGTGCTGGCGCAGACAATGCTCCAGACCTGGTGCCCTGTGTGGGGCCGGTCACTCACCGACACCAGGAACTCCAGCGTGCCCACGTAGTCGCGCTCGGTCTTCTGCAGCTCACTGAGCACGCACACGCGCAGACGAAGCTGCTTGTCCGCGTCCTTGGCACTCTCGTCGCTCATGGTGGCCGGCCGGGCGCGGGGCTGGGGGCAAGTGCGCTGCCCCGCGCCTGCTGCCGCCTCTGCTGCCCTCAAAGTTGCCGCCTCCGCGGAGTCTGAGCGGGACGCGCAGCTTCACATGTTGGCCCGAGGCCGGGGCGTGGGCAGAGGAGGCTGCTCGAGCTGCGACACGCGCGCGGGAGGCGCGGGACTCGGAGCAGGACACTCCCGGGAGAGCCGGATCCCGGCCCGGCCCGCCGCTCTGGCCTCACGCGGCCCCAACCCGAGGGGAGGCGGCTCCGGCAGTCACAGCGGTGACTTGGACATCAATCAAATGTTTCAATCCATGTGACTCCGACCCTTTACCCTTAGCCAAATCTCAGGAAAAAGGAAACACAACCCTGGGGAAGTGTATCGTGCCAGCTAACTAAACACACACACACACACACACACACACACACACACACACACACACACACACACGAACGGAACTAATCCGAGGTTCCCAAACCTAGGAGGACACTTGTGAGACAGCTCTGGGGCTGCTCCTGGGAATCCCGCCCATTGTTTAGCTTTAATGTGTTTTGCACCAAGTCTGAAAGCAAAGAAACAAGTCCCCGCGGTTACATAACTGCTTGGGAACAAAAACAACCACAGCATTGACCCTCCCGCGTTTGACAAGGAACACATTGATTTTTGGTTTTAGTTAGTACAAAACAGGTTTGGTTTAAAAAAAAAAAAAGCAACCAATATTATTTCACAGGTCAGACAAGCTTTTGTCGAGGCTGGGAATGTCAATTAAAGTGATAAATGAGAAAGGTAGAGGAAAGTGACAGCCCCTATCCATACATTGACTCCACATAGAATAGGTGGTACTCTGGTTAAGTACTTTTTAATACCACTGTGTGTCTATATTTTTTCAGTGATTTTAAAAGATAGGAGCACTGAACGGTCATCGGAAGACTGACAGAGGGCAGGGAGATAAATGGGGAGGATGCACAGTGAATGATTGACAGGTGATACCTAAAGGTAGGTGACAGATGATTGGCAGTTGGCATTCAGATGACAGATGTCATAATCTTCGGTTTTGAAAATGGAAAGTTCAAAGCAATATTTAAGTTTATTGATTTCTCTCTTGGGAACACAACCAAGACCTATCAATTTAACGAACCAAGTGACCCATTTGCATTTCTATCTAGATTTCATTCGCATGTACTTTCAGAGTCATTTTTTTTCTACTTAAAAGGTATTTACACAGCTTACAGTTAATTTGACATTTAAGTAAATGGAACAAATACTTATGATGCAATGAAAAGGCAGCCAAGCTCGTTCCAAGTGTTGGTAGCCTGTGGTAAACTAAAGATATTTTCCTCAGTATTTACATTAAAATAATTTCCACTTCCCTTAAGACTTTTGCAGGTATGATTGTGACTTTCACCAGACAAAGAGGAATCATGCATGCTTCTTTCTTGTGTTAAAGACTCAATATTCCCGTGATGTGAAGGATGCTGATGGAAAAAGGTGACTTTGCCCTTTCTTTTGCACCTGACTATTTGGAGGCAGCCAGGAGCTGAGGGCAAACAATGTGGGCAGCTTCACACTGTGGCAGAAGAACAAAGGACAAGGCACATTAAAGACCTCCCTCACAGCACCTGGTAAACAATGAACAAAAGAAACCAGAAGGCTCAGGAAATACACAGTAGCTAGTGGGAAGTTCAAACAGGGTCTACCCTCTCTGTGGACTACAGGTAGTGAGCACATTTCTTGCTCCCACGTGAAACAATTAAGTAAACAAACAGATTTCTATTCAGTTCTGTGAATGAAGCAGAATGTTTTCTCTTGCGAGCTGTTCCCAGTTAGAAATCACATTGCAATTTTTTTTTTCATCAAGACATTTAGTCTGTGTACAGCCCACTAGAGTGATCAGCTCACTGAGAGCAAAAGACTTGAATTTGAATTGTCTCCAAGGTTTGTACCCATCCAAGGCTTTTGTCTCTGTTCTACAAATACACCTGGAAGACCCCCATTAAAACTGTGCCCTGCTAAGTAAGATCTCAGGAACCCTGAGTGCCAGGAACACTGTGTGGGTCACAGCCATTGCACGACACTGACTTGAGATCCTGTGCAAATGAAGGTTCCTGAGTCTACTCTTCATGTTTTTTTTAATTGTCTCAGACATTACACCCTATATTTTTTCAGTGAGGGCCACAGATTCTTGGACTTGCTAATATTTGAAATCTACCTTCTACAGACTTAGAGTTGAGTCAGGGAGAGGATCAGGCCCTTAAGAAACTCCACTAAAAGGCAAGCCTCAGGAATTGCTTTGTAAACGGAAGTTAGCAGAAAGATACATGTTTTAATTGTGAGGCATTTTTATTATCTCAGAAGTGCCCTGTAAAAATGATTATGCTGTTTGTGGTTTCTGCCCCCTTTTCTCCTCCGTCTATGCCTCAGTGTCATTTTTAACTAATGAACAACTCCAGGACACCTTGGAGTGCATTCTGCCAGCTCTCTTCTGAGAAGACTCTTGCAGAGACCTCGGTAGCCCTGGCTGGAGTCCGTAATTCCTCATCAAAGACTTGAGAGCATAAGAAAACAGGGCTAGAGTATCTGGAAACTTTCACTTTGATGGTAAATAAGGTCTTTCACAGACTCTGAATGTGTTGTGTCCCTTCCCACTTCCTCTATTGAAACTTCAGGCTGTGCCTGCCAGGAAAAGGGAAGCAACAAGCAAGATGATGGACAGGATCCAGTTTTGGGTTGTTGTTTTTTTTTTTCCTTGAAATACTAATGAGGTTAAAGTCTTAAATAAAAAAGAGATGGGGGGGGGGGCGGGAAGAAGGTAGAAGTGCCTGAGTTCTGGACTAGTTCAGTCATTAAATGTATTTCATATGCATGAACTTGGGGCAGTTAGAATCTATTAAAAGGTTCAAAGAGCTCAAGGGCAGAGCACAGTGGCCTCTTTTAGTCAGAGAAGGACTGGCCTGAAAAGGTGAAAAATACAGGGCTGCCTCTTTGCAAGAAGACAGCTTTACAGATACATTTCGGGAGGAGGTCATATTTGTCTCTTCGACATTTCAATACTGTTGTCTGTGTAAAAGAATTGTCAACTTAAAAACAAATGAAAAGATTGCTTTACTAAACGATCATCAACTGTTCTTTGATAGTTCCTTAAAGACTGTGGTCTCTCGTTGATGACTCCACGCCATGTTAACAGATATAATGGAGGTGCATCGATGCATGCCTAGCAGGCTTGATCCAGTGGTGATTTCTAAGACTATAAACTTGGTTGTAGTTCATGCTTAATTTCTCAGTTGCTTCCTCTTTAGTTCATTGATAATTTGGTCAGATCAAACGCACCATACTTTGAAGCATATGATTAGTTCTATCTTAACTCATAGAGGCGATTGAGCAGGTGAATAGCTTAAATGATAAAATATAGTGCTCGTGAGTCATATTTCAATTTCTGATGTAATATTGTGGGACACAGAGAACAAACCAAATCTTTGAATGATGGACTTTAGCAAGATTCTGGAGTTCTCTCTAAATGAACTTGATTAAGAACAAGCCACTCACTTAGCCCAGTCTAAGATGACATTAGAAATCACATTCTCATTAGGGAAAGCTAACTATTAACATCCCAGTAAACAAGCAACCAGTGAGTCTCTTATTAATCTCAGAACAACATCATCCTTGCAGTGTCCATCTCCCTACAGAGCCTCTGGTTCACCCCCTAAAAATAGGTCTCTACACCTTACAGATCTTCAAACTACTCTGCATCTCTCTCCTCCCTCAAAAAAATGTCTTAAGAGCTCTCTACACTGTCTTTAATCGAGAAATTAATGCTGCCACTCATAAACATACCCGCATCCACATGCCCATAACTGAGACTGTTGCTTTCAAGATAAAAGGCCATTGCACATAGGTGTTATCAATGTAAGGCGATGGCAAAGGGGGCTTCTCTTGGATATAAACCATGAGGGAAACATTCTAACGTTTGAAAATACATTCTGTTAGTTTGTTTTGAAACAATTTTGCTATATGGCCCAGGCTAGCTTAAAACTCACTATTTAGCCCCAGATGGTCTCAAACTCTTGATCCTCTTACCTCAATCTCCAGAGTGGTGGAAATGATTATAGGCATACCACACTATGACCAATCTACATGACTTAAAAGCAGAAACCCTTTCTAGGTGTGATTACAATGGGAAATGCAACTATGGAGGAACGACACAAGATGCAGCGGTGCTGGCGTTGCAGGTGGGTAAAGGGGACCACAAGCCAAGGACCATGGGTAGCCCCTAGGATTTGGGAGAAGCAAGGATCTTACAAAATCTAAAAGAATGTAGCCCTGTTAGCACCTTGATTTTAATGCGTCACAATTTACATTGTCCCTCCAGCCTTCGGAACTGTATAAAGATAATGTTTGTTTAATCAATCACTGATTTTTGTTTTGTTGTTTTGTTTTTTCAAGACAAGGTTTCTCTGCAGTTTTGGAGCCTGCCCTGGAACTCACTCTGTAGACCAGGCTGGCCTTGAACTCCCAGAGAACTGCCTGTCTCTGCTTCTAGAGTGCTGGGATTAAAGGCGTGCTATACCATGGCCTGGCTCAAATTTTTTGTGGCAATAATTCATTTTCTTCATTCCTTTACCTCCCATTCTTTCTCCAACCCCTGAATGTGGCTTCTCTCCCATTGCTGCCAGGACTACTGACCTGTCACTGTCACTTTGTGTCTCTGTTTCTCCTTTCATTGAAGGCTGTTCATTCCCTGCGCTATGTGACCTTCCACCTGCTTTTCAATGTTGTCTCTCACGGGTGACTGGAATAAGAATGATGCCCCCCCCCAAGTTCATAGCTTTGATTCTTTAGTCACCAGAGACTAGCACTACTTAGGAGGGATTAAGCATTCTACCCTTGTTGGAGTAGGTATGGCCTTGGTGGTGGAAGTGTGTCACTTGGGTGGGCTTTGAGATTTCAAAAGTTGAAGCCAGACCCAGTGGCTCTTTTCTTGCTGCCCGAGGATCCAGATGTAGAACTCTCAGCTCTTTCTCCAGTATCATATCTGTCTGCATGCCACTGTGATTCCCACCATATTGATAGTGTACTAAACCTCTGAAACTGTAAGTCCCAAATAAATGTTCTCCTTTATAAGAGTTGCCTTGGTCATGGTGTCTTTTCACAGCAATAGAACAATGGCTAAGAGACTCTGCTTTCTGTGGCCATGACATTGCCCCAGCTTCCCTTTGATTCTCTGACCCTTCCATGCCACGTTCTCCATGGCATATTTCTAAAAGTTGATGTTCTCTAGAATTCATTTATTAACTCATTGACAAGAGTTTCCCGACCAAAAGAAAAAAAATGTGTCCCCGTGTTTCCTTATTTCT